AGAAGCTCGGTTTACATAAACACAAGACCACGAAGTACTTCCCGCTTGGAGACTGTGACATGACCTTGACTTCACAATTGTTTGGGGATTCAACACTTGCAGTCCATGTCGTGGGAGGATTCTGGAGGGTAAAAACAAAACTTGACTCAGGGATATTCCTGGCAGCCAACTTTTTAAATGAAACCCAACTGATAAGAGTCTGGAGTATGACCACCAGACATGTGTCATAATGGTGAGTTGCTCATAAACAGCAGAGACATGAAGAGGAGGCAAGGTCAATAATTCTGACCAGCGCGGTTTCAAACATGTGACGCATACTGAGTAAGGAGTGAAAGAGGCTATTAGGAAAAATGATTATGAAAAGCCTGTCTGAACCACAGTTCTGTTACAAAACCTAGTGAGATTCCCACCAAGACAACGTTTGAAGGCGTCATATCATATCATAGGTGTGGTTCTCAATTTGTAGACGAAAAATTACACTATTGTAAAATGCTTCATATTGGAAAAACTGAGAAAATGTTCAATATCCAGATAAAGCAATCCCACAATGCACAGCAATGAGAGACTATTCTTATACTTAAACATATACTCAATTAGCCTCTAATGATTTCATTTGAATTATCTCTGTCTTTCAAACCAGATTGAATTATACAGAAACATTGCTATATTGAACAGAACATGGAGTGCCTTCAATGCATGATTGTATTCTGATTACGGTCAATTTTCAGGCAACATAAAGCATGTAAACGTAAATGCATTTTAAGTGCATCATCATATTTAGATAATAGTTGTTCTCCATTTCTACATTGCTAGTGCTAGAGTTGTTTTCATGCTAATGTGAAATGTTTAAACCGACTACCTGAACAACCCAAGACAGGTGATTGATTTGAGTCAGTAAACAATGGAAAGTAACCAGGCCAGCATCATTTTCACATCCAGAATGTTTCAAACTGATGATGTTGATGTACGTTTAGCAATATTGTGAAAACGCTGAATAAGGCAGAATGGTGCTGACGAGAAATTGCACTGTGTTTACAGGATATAACAGCATGAGATTATTGCTGTGGTCATCTATCATTTTCAGACCTGACCGTATGAAGTCATTAGTGGGAGCTCAGTAAACACTGGTGTGTGGAAATCCCTATTTACTGTACTAGTCAGGGCTTGAGTGCGTCTCATTTCTGATTTAACACTATAAGCCCGAGACCTAAATAATGTAGCATATGTGCTTTCTAGAGTGCTTTTATTTATTTACATAGAGATATTTGAACATCATGTTATAAGTTACCGAGAGGGAATCAGTGTCAAGCTAAGTTCATCCAATTTTTTGATTACATCTAAAGTCATTCTCCCCTATTCCCCAGGCATGTTCTCCCAGTATACTCACTCCTGCTTGCTCTCTCCGTAGGGTAAAGCCTGTTGAGGAGAGCGCTGCTGTCACACCTGTCCCCACGCTGTCAGCATCAGAGCACACATGCTGCGCCACTAACAGGATATGACATACAGGACACAAACGCTCCAGCTCAGGGTGGCGTGGCGGCACTGAAGTGTGAGGATAGAGACTCGATGCAGAATTAGGCCACAGTGTAAGCAGCTACACTAACTTTAAGAGATTAATGGTCTCATAATCAGTTTTATGACAAACTCTGATACTTCCAAACTCAAGCGAAATGTCCAGATTGGTCATAAATTCAGGCTCAAGGTTTACTAAGGCAGCAACTTACTGTTGTGAGTAACGTTATCCAGACTACATGTCATTTTAAACATGGTAAATATTCTGAATTTCTGATATATCAGGCAGGCTAATGAATCAGACAATATTTGGAAAATTTGAGATAACTTTGCCTCCCCTTGTTAGCCTGGTAATACCAGACTCTGCTACTTCACTTTGCTTCGTAGACAGAGTCTGGAATGGCATAATAGAGAAGTGTTTTCTCTCTCGCTAGGGGGCGCTTGTCTGAAGTTTAAAATCATTGGTTACCCGTAAGCCAATCAGATAAGTTTATGTATGACGTATGTTATGCGCCGACACAGTTGCATCGAACCACAGACATCATGCATCGAACTCAAATCTATGATCGAACTTCCACTGTAAACACTTGATGATGCGAGCGAAATACCGGAGTGAACATGGCTGTAAATGACTTTTGCAGATTATGCGAAGTTAATCTACGCATCCACGGTACAATCAGGGCCTCTAAACTGATATTTGACAGTAGAGAGAAACAAAAAAATATTTGCAGCCAACTGTCAAAGTTAGGATTAGTTCTGTTAAACACAGCTCTTTGTTCATCTCGAGTCTGTCGGAAATGCTGCAACTTAATTGCAAGATTACAGCATGTCATGGCAATATTTAAGACCTGGAAAAGAAAGGATACACTGACCTGTCAAAAGCCTCCCCAGTTTCTCGCTGACGATCGGTAATAGTTGATAAATTAAACTTTTCCCAAAGGGAGCAGGGCCACAACATCACCTCCATTCAAAATGTTTAATACACACTCTTCTTGTCCGGGCTTCAGTTTGCTAATGCCGGGAATATTCTCCACAACTGAGCGAATTGCATCCGCGTCTCCATATCCGCGGTCGTTTTCGATTTCCCTGACCTAATCTTAAACTCGGCGCTTAGCGACTACGTCACGGCTTTCAGCCCGCCCTCTGTTCGTTGATTGGCCGGCTGTTTTCAGGCCGGAGGAAAACGGATAGATAGGCCGCTGTCTCAGACTGAGTACAGAAGCGAAATGAAATTGAGCGGAAGTACGAAGTCTGACGTAGTCAGGCTATCCCCTTGTACCCCTGCAAAAAAATCAACAGACATCCTTGTCTATAAACAGTAGAGCTGCGTGATTAATCATAAAAAGATTGCGATCTCGATTCAAACACCCACGATTTCATTCCTAAATGACCGCGATTCGGCTGTCTATTAAACCTTTGACAAGTCCAAACACAGCAAATATTCAAATCCGCATTCACGCTGTCGCTGAACCAGAGCATTTGTCATGTAGAAGTATGAAACCGCTTCACACACAATCAATTCAACAACACACAATATTATTATTTCTATGTTACAAATGTTCAAATAATATCAGAAGTACTGGGATAAAAGTTTATAGTTCGGATATAAACACTAATGTATTACTATGGTAGCGATCAAAATAGAGCAAATAGAGCAAAAAAAATTACGCCACTAGGTGTCGACAAGTGACTGTTAAAACAAATGTATGTCATTCATTGAATCATTCATTCAAGAGATGTGTTCAAAAATGCTGATTCATCCAGTAAATGAAACAAATGACGTATTAGTAACTAAGTCAGTGGACAAAAACTTCATAAAACAATTTTGAAAGTTGTGAAAATGACATGAGGACCTTTATATAGTGCTGGTAAGTCAGCCTCGTTTTCATCCATGTTAAATCTAACCTAAGGTCTATGGGCCACAAAAAACCCACTGCGATTGCGAACAGCACTCATACACACTGCAGCATATCTAATGCATTGTAAAGTCTGTTTTTGTACTAATCATTTTGTTGATCCAGGTATTTTACTAGAACATCCTCTGACTTTTAAACAGGCGTGTATCAATCAACATACATTAACTACAGAATCGTACAGTACCCCCCACGACAAAGTCATTTTCAGAATCCAACACGCTTTCATTTACCACCAATGGACCTGACAGAATACAAATGGATTGGTTACAGCGGGAGAACTCTTTAATGAAGTATAATTGAATGGTGAAGTCTTTTGTTTAGAGCTGTACTCATCTGATTCTCACAGCAGGGTTCCTCGACAAGTGCTCTACCTGCAGGCTCTTGTCTATTCCTAACCTGGTGGTCTTGCTAAACGCCAAACAGCATTGTATCTTGGATGCCCGTTTACTTCATTTAATACCAAGCTTTTGATACAAAATAGCAATAGAACAAGAGAGCTGAGATTATTTATGGCAAGGCCTAAACACATGAACATAAGGGACAATGCAGCATCCATGGAAACCACATAATTAAACATTGATAAGTGTTTTTTTCTCCAATGCAGAGGTGAGTATAGCTAATGGACGTATAGCAGAAGAGTTACATAATGCATTATTGCAGGTGGTTACATTAGAGAACATCTGCAATTGACCTGAATAAGCTAAACGATACTAAATGAAACAACAGCATAAAAACTTCACTGATAATGATGATATAACTAGATGGCACAAAATATGCATCACTTATCCACTCTACAAATGTATATTTAATGTCACATAACAGAAGCACTGAGATATTGGTGGGTTGGTTTTTCATGCACCCCCATACAAAAGCAAGCCTAAAAATGTGTCATGAGCATGGTAAAGATGTATTTTATATAATTTACACACACAAAAAATGCCATAATACGTTTGGAAGTACCTTGCTTGGAGTACCATGAATTTTCTGCACCATAGTATCACCATCTAATATCATCACTATACCATGGCACTTTCATACCATACTGCTACCATGGTATATCCAAACACCATGGTACTCCAATGTGCTTCGATGATTACCACGGAATGTATGTGCATGTGCGCACATGTCTTATCACTGATCATACAAAATGCCAAGAAAACACGGTAATATTTATATCTTATATGGAAAGCAAAAGTGCTTTGAGGTATGCTCTGGTATTTTCGCGGTACATGTCCACAAACATTACATTTCTTACTGCTTGATTAATTTTTTTATTTTTATTTTTGTAAATAATATTGTGTCTCAAATGAAAGACAGCAGCAGTGCATTAGACGGGTGCTGGTGTGTTTGCATCCATCACCAATCGAATCGAACACATCATATCCGCAACCTCAATTTCATATTAAATATATGTATCTCCTCCAAACGAGTAGCAAAGTACTGGCATGTTGTTTTTATGGAAGCATGTGACAAATAGAAAACGAAATCTTTCGCGGGAGCCTTCTGAACACACAGACCTGCTGAAAATGACACACACACACACACACACACACACGACGTGCCATGACTTACCGAGCAGGAGCAGTTTCACCTCCCTCGCCGCCTTCTCTCCATCCTCCCGCAGGTTTTTGTCGATCATCTTCGATCTCTCGGCGGCCGCCTTGTCTTCAGCGCTCACCGTGCAGCCCATGATCGAACCGTGCGCGCGTCAAACTTCAGAGAACGGGTCAGATCAGTTCGGTCCGTACCGCTCAAGAACTGTCAACTATAAAGACGCCGCGTGGATTGGCAGATGTGATTTAAAGGTGCAAAGTGTCACAATGAAATGGTTTGATTCCGAAAATGCTCGTCCTGTGACTCTCCATCAATCAGGAGGGTTGGAATATGTTTAGACGAGATTAAAAAGTTGCTTTAGCTTTCCACCAAATCAATCAATAAATCTTCCTTTAGCGCCTCCTTTCAGATCAAAGAGCAGCCGCGGTGTCGGCGCTTTCATCTACCGCTCACAGTTCTTGAAATCAAAATCATTCGCTTGCACTGAGTCAGGTGCCTTTCTTTACACGCGAAAATATATACAACTCTTGAGAAATTCTGCCGCCAAACAGCTCTGGTATTTTTCTTCCCCTATTTTTATTTCAAATTCAAACGTTCTGCATATCGAGCCTGGCGCAGGGAAATTCTAAATATTAAAAAATTCAAATTCAGAACGTTGCAGCGTTCGGCGCGGCGCTCCACTCGCGCTGGTTTCTTCTGAGGAATAAACAGAGCGTAAGAATGTGAAAAAAGCCCAAGCGTGCAGCACCCACCCACTGATGAACTACTGCCCGTGAATTGTGGGAAATGCAGTAGTTTTCTGCTGCTGATTCAATCAAGAGAGAATCGGTTTGCTCAATTGGTTCAATGAACTAGTTAAAAATGATTCATTGATTCTTTGAAATTATCACTCGTCAACAAACATTATTTATTATTAACACACTGACAATATGATAAGAAACATTTCACTGAAAAGATACAAAAATCTAGTTAGTGAAATCAATTCAGTCTTACTGTTGGTTTACAAAAAGATATCATTTAATACGAATAATAACATTATCATATCTATGTAATACTCTTTTCATAATTAAAAAAATATTACTTTCATAACACAAATAAATATAACAAGTAACCTGGGTAGGCTACTAGCATAGCCCTTAATTTGCCACTTTGTTTACAACTGCACTACGTTGAATAAGCTTTACTTAAATGTAAATATAGAGATATTTTCATATTAAAATCATTTAATTTTCACTACCTCCAGGATGTAAGGAAATGGCAAATAGCCTAAACTTGAATCAATTCAGTGGCATTTTATTCAGTAAAATAGCCTAAATTTAACACGGGTTACATTTATTTCTCTAACTTGTCACTCACCTCACGGTTCTCTCCAAAGACTGAGTGATAAACAATAGGCGCTGTGCGAATCAGTTCGAATGAAACGTTAAAAAAGAACCGACTCAGAAGAACGACTCGTTCGCGAATTGAACATCATGAATTGAAAGCACGTTTGTGCCACGGAGAAACCTATTAAAATATTCAACAATAAGCGCACCATGTTATGCAGATAAATAGTCGTTAAGAATAATATGATACATGTAAAATGCACTTAATGCAAGTTTAGGTTATTATATCTGACATTTGTCATTTGGATCTGCAAACATCGCCCTCAAGTGTTAGAAAAACTAATCACAGTACAAGCTAGTCAAGTAAAAGTATAATCTAGTTTTGATATTGACCCACAATAACCATAAGAAAGTCATAATGTTATTTTTGGCAGGGTAGTAAATACAAAACTCAAATACAGGTTTAAAAACAGCTTTTTTATTGTCAATTGGTTCTGCTATTTACACATATACAAGCTAAATATGCATCACAAAAGCGATTCACCTTTATATACAATATACGAATGAACTAAACAATCTTGAACCCAACTGTATAGATTAAATAAGTGTAGTATGCTTTGAAAAACAAACTGTGGTTTGTGTTTTCCAGATGATCTGTACCAGATTAAATAGAACAAATATTAGCAATACTTGTTTGAATATATCAACTGTGCAGCACTGAGACAAAATAACATTTACGGAATTTCAGTCATTATGATTTTTGCATTACATACCATATGAATCACAATATTCACCCTTGACTTTATCTTCAATCTAATGCTACTTTGGTTGAAGCAAATATAATATACCAAGCAAAGCTATAACTTAACTAAAATAGTGTTTCAAATAGAGTTAAGTATAATAATAAAATTACAAATCTTATTATTAATAAAATAGTCAAATATAACAATAAAATTCATTGTAACCAGGATAAAAAAGTTAAAGTATTTAACCAGCACCTATATGGTGACCAGTGGCAAAATAAAAAATTAGGTAGTATCTAAAGGGCATTTAAGGTAGCTGGTTGTAATCTGAGGCACTTTGTCTTTAGGATATTAAGATTTATAAAACTTCAAAAATTACAAATAAGAATCAAATGATCAGATTAAGGAAAATAAAGCAAGAGTTGCATAACAAACATCCTTGCCATGTTAAATGGTGACAATTGGGGACCACTGGCATTGTACTTCAATCTCCAGCATAAAGTTCAGTTTGTTTTTTGTTGACAGTGCAAACTGAACAACCATGTGAGCGTCAATGCCATGTGAAGTCTGTTTCTCATCGAATTATTTCTGTCATTAATGTGGCGATATTAAAGACATACTCAGAATAGCTCATGTTTGCTCATGGTTTACCAATATCTGCCACTACCAACCCAGCTAGTCATCAGTCGGCACATCATATTAGCACAACTTACTGTACACCAGGATTGCACAGCACAGTATTTTGGCAGAATCTGAACACATTACAGTTTTGAAAGCACCGCATGAACCACCGAATAAGAGCAAGAGATTTCAAACACAGAATAATCATACGGTTTCCTTCAAACTAACAAAAAATACCGTTTCTACATTTCAGCTAGTTCATCATCTACCGCTAATACCGAAAGCAGGGTCCATAAATACTCAGATTACAAGAAAATGAACTGTAAAACAAGGTAAACACAGATGTGAAAAAATAAAACATTTACAACCCTTTTCATGTGAGATATTTCTTCCAAAGCAGCTTCCAAACTAAATCACTTAAACTTCACTGCAGTGAAATGCTTAATATGATCGTTTGAATTCTAATACAGGGGATATTACGTCTGTTTCAAGTAAAATATAGTTTTGTGTATGTATATGAAGTCCTTATCTAGCTTTTGCGTAAATGGCGTCGAGTATGCCATTAAGATCTTCAACGCGATACACACAAAAACGATAAAGGACACGGTTATTGTACACGTCAATACTAGAACACACTAATACTCATCCAGTGAACTGCAAAATATATTCGATACATTTAAATAAATACATTTCTCACTGTTTAAATCTCCATGTGATCAAGGCAAGCCTTGCATTCTATGGCTACTGTGCATACTTTAGGAAAACAGAAAATATACATTATGATAGTTTGATTATGGAAATCCTTTGCTTTGGCACACTGAAATCGTGCAGTATCTGAAATAGGTGGTGATGTGACTCGTTGATTGTCCAAAGCCCGCTGGAGAGTAAACCATCTACCGACCCATCTTTACTAAAACTAGCTGGCTTAACTTCTACAATCTACTTGTTCCATGGGCGAAGTAATACACGGATTACAATCTGATATATAGGTCACTATTGTACAAAGCATTTGCTGTCACTTCAAAGAAATCTAGAAGGGTGCGATTATGTGTTTCTACAGAACAGTCCTGTCAAGTATAAGGGATCGGGGATTGATAAAACAGAGCGTGAGAGTCAATAAAAATTATGACAAGCAATTTGAGTCATAACAGCATATTTCATATTCCTAAGTGAGTATGTACTAAACCTTGAATAAATAATTGAAATGGTCAGCATGTTTGACCTTTACGTGGTTTAAAACATACATAACATCAGTCTGAATTTATCAAAAAGTGTTTAAAAATAAAGCCATTTTCCCCCATTGTCTGATGGCAGGTTATCTGTGGAAAATGGGATGTTGTTTTGGGTCCCCCACACCTTTCCCTTTCAACAGTGGGACGGTGTATTCTCTGCGTCATAACAGGCAGAAAAATACAGATAAAAATAAATCAGATCATCTTCCAGTATGTTACATCACTAACTATACGTGCGCCACGCACTCTCATACATACAAAGCCATGTACAAACACACATTCATCAGAGTTTGTCTCCTAGTGGCCACCCAGAGCACTGCTGCTGCCTGTTGTCCAATCAATGATGATGAAGCTCAAGCTCATTATCATAAACAACACGCCCAGTCCAGCGAAACAGGCAGCCTGAGGAAAGGAGAAAAACATTCAGTCATTAACCAAATAAAATGTATTTTATAAACTGACCTTGTGAACTGATTTGAAATGTTGAAAAAGTTAAACAAGTTAAGAAAGAGTATTTTAGAAATATTCCAAAAAAGTATAGCAACATCTGTATTATCTCCTATTTCCAGTAGGAGAGAGATAAATGCTATGTAATGTGATGATATAGAGCCGAAGAAAACAACTCAGCTGGGCCGTATCAGAAGCTATGTTTTCATCCACCTATTTTTATGCAATTTTTGGGATATCGCATAAAAACACACTGGATGGAAATGCCAAGATGCACATAAATTCTAAAAATGCACTTAAAAAAACCAATGTGCTCAATTGCGGCTGATTATGGAATTTATGGAATACGTTCATACTCCATGATGGAAACACATTTACCGAATAAATCCCTTGATGTGCAACAACAACAAAAAACGCACATGATTTTGCCTCAACAGAGGATGTGATTGGATAACTGGACTAACCAGCGGCCAATCTCATCGCACAGCACCTCAAATGTTGGTAATGCCTGAGCCAAAGTCTGTCATCAGATTGATTTGGTACAATGACCTCCGAGAAGTGTCTCACGCAATTGCGTCCACAAACACCAGGCATCCGAACGCAAAATAACATGATCTAAGGCGCAAATCATTTTGGCTTCGCCGATCGCAGGAACTTCCATTATTGATAAAGATATTTAATTTCCCATGAAGTGATGATTTTGTTCTCTTGAACGCATGGGATGGAAACGGTGCTTATTCGCAAATGTTTTAGGCAATATTCCAATTTTCACACACAAGTTAAATTCGCAGCTTTGGATGGAAACATAGCTAGAGTCTAACTGGTATAAAGTGGCATAAACCTTGGATAAGTGTGATGCAAACACCTGGCGATGCATGAACAGTTTTGGAAATGTTCTCCTCTCTCCTACTGGGTAGCCATTAATCACACAAGCATAACTTACAAAGATTTTGGGGGTAGAACGCATTGGCTCCTTATCCTTCGGAACAATACGGATGTAGAAGACAGCAGGAAAGATGAAGATAAGGCATGGAGCGGATGTTGCACCTGGAGAAGGAAGAAGAGGACTCATGTAGATTAGCTAATCAGCTGAATCCAATCAAATCTGACACTGACGACAATTAAACACGATGACAATTACAATTCCAGAGACGTTGTCTTTGCTGATGAAAATGAGAATAGAAAAGTTAAACAAGTACCCTATGTTGGACAAACATCATTTGAGTCATTTTATGAGCATCAGAGTAAGACTCATTAGTTAATATCTGAAAAGAAAAATCTTTCAAATTACTCACACTTTACTTATACCTTGGATAAACTTGAGCGAAACATTTTCAAAGGACGTAAAACATATTAGACGATAATAAAAGATTATGCCTAAACATTGTTTTTTCAAGTATTTTAGCCTTTCAATTAGATTATTTTGCGCCATCAAACATTTTTAGAATTGAAAAAAACCTGGACAAAAAAAGAGTTTAATATCATTGATCTGTTTTGTTTTCCTCTTCATTATGATCAAATGGAACCTTGACACTCACCTTCTTCCCAATAATATGAGATAAACACAAAAAATATTGATTTAACAGCACAACATTATCTGTTCAAACAAGCAACGGAGACATTTGAAGCTGTACTCAAGGCCAGAGACAGTGTCAGTGTCCCTTAATCATACTGAGAAAGCAAGACTAACAAGTGAGTCTCTGCTTTGGCATTTCAGACACATGTTTGAACACAGAATTGTTTCCCTCTTTCTCAGAGAGCACTTTTGACCGGTCTGGATTTTGAGCTCTTGAGCCAGCGAGGATTGAAGGACTCACCTATGATGCCAAAGATGCCCAGGATGTTTGGGGCAAAGATGACCAGCATGTTGATGAAAGTCAGGAGAATGACGGCTATGGCGACGTGTCGGATCCAGTTGAAGGTCTTATTAGGAAACACCATCTCTTGAATGGCTCTCCGTACCTTTGAGAAGAAGTAACAGATCATTTTTAATGACTTTAAGCAACATTTGATCACATGTACACCTATATTCTGAACAGCAAGCTGAATCTCTCTATTATTTCCAATATGTCTCTTTAGAGTGGGCAGCATGAGTCATTTTATATAACAATAAAGGTATATGTCACAATATGGTTATTTTTGCTGTATTATTCAACCCAAAATGGTCCATATATTACGTCAGTGGTTCTCAACGTTTCTGACTACTTCCTTTATTTACAGAAACTAGGTGTGGCAATATATTAAAATAAATAAAATAATTATAATTCAAATTGAAATAATTGAATTTCATAATTCCAGTAGTTTCAAGCCATTTGTGATTACAGGTGATTTGAAAGATTACAAGGGGTTTTTATACAAATAGCTGTGTCTCAGCTATTTTTACCTGATCAAATATTTTAGAGCTTGACGTAACTAGAATAACTAGTAATTTCCATGACTTTTTAAGATTTTATTCATTTGCATGACTTTTCAAAATTCCTTTTAAAATTGGGAACCTCATGGTTCTTAAATAAAAAATGACAAGTGGGAACAAGTTAAATTAAGAAATATGATGTGTGTTTATATCTTGATTTTTAGCTGCTTTCTCTTAAAACTTATTTTAAAGCCTTTTACAGCAGCCATGGAAGTGTGCTGAGGCCCCCTAGTGCGTCCTGACCCCTGACCCCCTGTATTTTGTTTTATGCTTTGCTTTTGGCAGAAGCTTTTATCCAAAGCAATAGACATTTACATTTTATCAGTACTTGCATTCCCTGGGAATCGAACCCATGACCTTGGCGTTGCTAGCGCCATGCTCTAATGTTTGAGCTACAGGAATGCATAACCTTGTAGTATTGGTTTTGATAATCAAGTGAATGAAATGCTTCACAACCGAAAGGAAGTTCTTGGTTGAATGGGCATTAGTGGCACATCGCAAAGGTTCAAAATGACCTTCACTCTTGTTATAATCAAAGAATTGCCCACCTGCATTACAGTTTACAGAGCAGGCTAGGGCTTTTGCTTTTCACACTATTGTGGCAAACACAGTATAGCACAATCTCTATGTAAGATATGAACATGTGAAACTCACTGGGAATAGAACGATGGGCACGGTCAGGGTGACGGCGGTGAGCACAGCCAAACGCACACAGAGGATGAGAGTGTCGTAGGGGTCGATCCTGCTGTAGGTGTGCAGAAGCTCGGGCTCAACGTTAGCTAAGGAAAAATAGAGGAAATTGTCAACTTAGTTTGCAGGTTTTACATTTACATTACATCTGATTAGAATATTTCAAAACGATCTCATCTGAATGTTCAAACATTGAGTTAATAATCATGTTTATGTTACACAGCACCTTAAAAGTAAGCTCTTCTCAAGGCTCTTATACACAAAAACAGGGGAAACGATTAAACAAAGAAAGTATGCATAATCAGACGATAAAATCTAGTAAAATCTATATTAAAAAAAAGTGAATGTTCCTGCATTCAAAAACAGCAATATGGAGCAAAATGATTTTTAATAGCATTTATTTTTTACAGCCGCTGTCTTTAGGGTCTGACTCATTTAGGAACTATGCAAATCAGATAATGATCTGTGTTGCACTGCCTAACAAAAACACAGCCTGTTTTTAATTTAACATGATGCATCCATAAAATTCAGTGCAAACATGGACCAAATACAAGCACTGCCAGGTAAGCAAAGCACTAGTAATGGGCAAATGTAAAAGTGTTAAACTTACTGTAAAATGTTAGGTACCCAAAGAGAGCAGCTAGGAAGTACATAGTGTACATGATCAGGATGGAAATGTTGGAAACGTGCTGCATCTTCTTCTGAGTTGGGCTGCAGGGAGAAAAGTATGAGATTCATTTTCAATCTATTTGCACAAAATAACCCAGAATCCAGTTACAAGTGTTGCTTTAATGCAGTCGACTTACTTGCGAAGCTCAGTGTAGATGGGTAGGACCTCAGGGTGGCAGACGAAAGCAAAGGCCAGAATGGGGATGGTGTATGCAGTCTGTTGAACACACAGTGTTGTTTTAGTGCATTCTGATACGCCTTTGCTATGTTTCACCCGTTTCACATGATGAAAATTAATAAAAATGCCCCCAGAATCCAAGATATGGGGTGAAAAATGTCCCTGTATGAGTTCTTGTTTTTAATTTGTAACAGGATATAGTTAAGCAATACCATACGAGCAAGAATATTACCATGATTGCAAATGTGATATTGATATTTTTCTACAGTTCAATAGACAAGAAATTAATATTAGTTGAAGGACATTTTACATTGAGAATGAAATTTTTTTTTTGCTCTATTTCCTCAACAAAAATAGTTCCAAACAAATCCACAAATGCGCGTCTACAGAGCAACGCAGTGACGTTTCGTTACTGAATGAATCTGTGTTTTTTGAACAAATTTTTAAAAAACTCGCACCTTATTGGGGATGTATGAATGTAATCTGGACGTACTACATTTGCCATGTTGTCACTGTCATGTGACCTACCAGCGTCAGTTGCATCTCTTCACTGCCATTCACAAATCCTCTCCCGTGGCCTCATGGGATAGTAAAGTGTCCATTGTATGCACACTTCAGAATCTCACCGGAAGTATTAAGCCATCAGGGTACTTTTAGCCTACTCTTTTATGAGAATTTTGTGAATGTGAATTCAGACATACTTTTTTGGTCACAAACTGTTTTTCTCCTATTATATAGTAGAGATTTTGGATGCAGCCAATGATTTACCACCGCCTGCTGGTTTTCTTTGAAACAGGCCTCTGGATTGTCTGAATGTAAAGGCACAAACAAAAATGTGCTATTCTTTCTGTGTGATATTGAACTATACAATACCTGTGAGTTCACAGTGAACATCTGCGGGCTGCAGTTGGCGTCATCCGCCATCACATGTCCGTTATGGTAACTGTGGGCGTGGTTAACGGATACGTTTGTGTGTGCGTGAGCCAGCGTGCTATTGGCCGAGAACTCCTCGAATGGGCACAGGATCTGGAACTTCTTATACATGACCTAAAAATAAAGAAAGGGACAAAGGGATGGAGTTGTTGTCACATGTTGTCTGTTTTGTTTGGACTATTAAAGTCTGTTTTCTCTGTTAGTTTTGTAGTTTTTTTTTTTTTTTGGTCCCCCGTGATGTTCTTCCCAGGTGTACATTGTTCTTTTATTGTTACTATTATTATTCTTAAAGTGTATCCGCCATTGGATCCTACTCTCCTTCATCTCTGAGTTCACCTCAACATTATAGAAGTGAAAATGGAAAATACACATGGGCATTTTGGCTATTTTGTGTACACGAGTACTCAACTTGTAATTAATCCGAGAACATGCGTATGACCAGTGTGTATTACTCTAATTGCATCAAATCAAACGGACTACAAAAATGACAACAAAATGAATTTAAAAAAGGAATTTTGATATTGTGATCAATGTTTTGAAGTTGAAAAAATCCATGCAATTATTGTGTTACATGATTGACAGATTGTCATTTCTTAATACTCTGGCGCATCCCTAACAGCTATATGTCTTGTCGGCTAAAATTTCCAAGGACATATAGACAAATAAAGCCACAATGGGTTAAAAATAATTATCCCTAATAGCAGCTCAAAGAGCAAAAACAGAAAACATTAATATTTGAACACCCCTTGACAAATTATACTTGTGAAACATCATAGAACATATTTATCCCGAGAGAATATAACCAATTGCAATCAATTAAAAGCCTCAGTCATCTTATTCTGAAGTCAGTCTGAGTCAGTATTTCAGTAATCAGCATAGCTTTGTACATATGATATAATATTCCATCCTCTAAAATACCTCTGGGAAAAGTGTGTGGGCGAACTGTTATGCGCATCTGTGAATCAACACGCTCTGAAATATGTTTAGAAGTATAAGATACAGGGACAGGATGGTAGTGAGTTTTTGTATATTTTTTGGTACCAAATAATTGATTTATGAATGTCATGATACCTTTTTTTCTTTAGAATTACATGCATTGATGAATAAGACGGGGTGAATTTTGTTTTCATATTGACTCGAATAATATCGGATGACGATAACGATGATAACGATGATGGCAAATACTTACTGCACTAAGGAAGAAGACCATGCAGCTGAGTGAAAAGCCACTGGAATAACCAAGGTAACCTGAAAATATAAATATAGCGAAGCGCGTCAATATGCCGTCACAGTGCTATTGTCAATCGACATGTTGCTTACATGCATTCAATCCTGAATCCCTGCATGTGCTAAGAAAAGCGCAGTGAGTTATCACTCATCTCAGAAGCTAATCTCTGCTGACAGAGCTTACCAGACAGAAATACTGACAAGGTCAACTTGATTCAATTACTAAAACAACTGTGCACGGTAAAAACACTTTTGCTCTCAGAAAAAACGATTTGCTGTTACTTTGGTTATTTATTGGTTTGACTTATTGCTTCATATGAAAACAGAATGTCCTTTTAAAGTGCTTGAACTTGTGCTCTGTAATATGAACAGTCCTTTCAACTGGGTCAAACGTACACGCAGTGGGCTGATGAAACCCACTTTCAGGAGGTGAAGAGAGAGATGAGATAGATTGAAGTAGAAGTGATCGACTCACCCAGCTGTTTCATTAGAGCCAAAGGCAGGATGACAGAGAAAGACACGAGCACCACCAAGTAGTTGCCATTGAGATACCAATCCCTGCAGAAACAGAGACAGAGAGTTCAAAAAATGTCCAAAACTTCATTTTCAGTCAAATCAGTTCAGGCAAGGTTATTTTATGTGGTAAGGCCAGATGACTGTAAAACATCAAGATTTGGCATAATACTGTAAATACTTTTGTCAGCTTTATGGTGATTGGTGTTTGGTTTGATTGTGAATTCAAACCTTATTTGCTTTTAAAACTTTAACCCCCGGTTTCACAGACCAGGCTTAAGCTAGTACCAGAAGTGTAACAGTGTTAAGGAGCGTCACTGATTTCACTGTTACATGAAAGATAAACGGACTCTTTGTCTGGTCATAACTTGCAATCTTAACTATATGTGGCAATTTTAAAATACAGAAACAATATCCTCTTTTATTAATAATTGAAATGTGCATTTATTTGCTCATCATAAAAGTTACAAAAAGAAAAATGGGATATATGATACTTTGAAAAGTTTTTTGAATTTTGAAAGAAATCATTTTATTAAGCAAAAATGCGTTACATTTATCAAAAGTGACAGTAAAGATGTTATAATGTTATAAGGGATTTCTATTTTAAATAAATGCTGTTTTTTAAACTTTCTATTAAATAATAAATGCATAACGTTTTCCACATAAATGTTAAGCTGAACGACTGTTAAAACCAAAACCAAATGTTTCTAAAGCATCAAATCAGCATATTAGAATGATTTCTGAGGGATCATGTGACACTGAAGACTGGATCAATGATGCTGAAAATCCAGCTTTGATCACAGGAATAAATTATATTTTAACATATATTTAATTGTAAAACAGTTATTTTAAATGGTAATAAAATTTCTGTATTTTTTGGTTAAATAAATGCAGCTTTGGTGAGCATTGAAGACTCTTTTTAAAACCATGGGGGAAAAATTCTCCAAACTGACAACAAAACAAATCCAAGGAAAATCCTGAGTGCACCTTTAAGAGATGTGATATGTTTTTATTGCTGGTGAAATGAGAGATTATGCTTTCTGGTTTAGTGGGAGCTGTAAATAAAGCATGCACAAGTAACTAAAACCAGCAAATAGTACAAAATGCAACTACATTTATTCTTAACTTTCTGTGCCTATTTTAAAGCCAGTCATTCTTCTGGTCTCCTATTCTGCTGCTCTGCCTGTCTGACAAGCCAACTTGAGCAACTTCACATGTGCCGCTGTAGAAAACATCTACACTATTCCAGAGTCAACCTGTCTAACTCCATCCGATTTCCGACCGAGTCTGCAATTCGTGTGATTTATGAGAAGGTTTATGTTGTGTTTGCTGAAGCCGCTAGCGACACAGATCATCTAAATAGTTGAAAGCTGACTGCAACATGGCACAGTTCCCACTCCTGGACTCAAGTAACCGCCACACTGTGAACACGAGGACACACACACGGAGTCACAAGGTGTTGCGCAGTATGTCAAGTCCAGACCTTGTTTGAGACTGCTCTATTTCCAGACCCTCTCCACTCCTTCCCAGTATAGACAACTATACGTGGGAATGAAACATCATAAACGCATTATATAAGATGAGCTATCTATCGTTAGGGGCATAAAGATTCCTCTGCAGTAGAAGTGGCTGCTTTTCAGAATGTGCAGATGTAAATGAATTCATTTACATGTCGGCTTTTGCATAGCAACAAGCAAGAACCAAAATATCAATATATATCAACACAGATATGCAGTAGAGAAGTGTACTTTCCAATATACTGGTAAAGGAAATGCATATCCACACAATTGTAATTTATTTTATTTATATATTTATGCATTTACATAAAATATTATATTTAAGGCATGTATTTACGTAAAATAAGGTATATATGTATACATACAGTACACGCGCGCACATACACACATGCATATATATCTGTGTGTGTGTGTGTGTGTGTGTGTGTGTGTGTGTGTGTGTGTACATATAGCAGCGTCACTTCATGCTGCACCTGGTCCTGAAATTATGCAAAAGCTCTCAGTCAATGCATAATGTTAACAGTGAAGCACACGCCTCCATCTTTGCTGGGTTTCTAACACTGCTGACGTGTTCAGTATACAGATCTGAAAAGCCGCTGGAACCAAAGCCTGTGTGAGTTTAACACTGGTCATATAAATAAATCACCTTGCCCATCTACACTTTCACTCTGTTAAATGGAAGCCTTCAAACTAATCCAGTAATTTTGAAATACACATTACATGACAGAATATTTTGATGTTTAAACTTCTAGCTAATTAACCATTTTCAGGGGATTAAAAATAAAATGTGGCTTTGTTGTGCATAGAATTTAAACAACGACACTCACAGGCCTAGTAATGAAGATGACGTCTCTTCTTACTATAAACTCAAAATGCATTTATGTGCTTCTTACGAACACTATGATGCGTCTGTTTTCAACACAATAATTAAACTTGATAAAACAGATGCCAAACTAGGATTTAACCTGAGAACACAAGCAGCTGAATAAAGTTATAACCAAGCGCTTGTTTTCAGATGCGAGAAACGAGTTATGTCTACTGACATCAGCACGTTAAGCAGTTGCCATGACAGTATGCTTGTTTAAAGAAGCCGTCACGCTCAGGAGGACAGAGGTGTGGTGGGAAAGAGACAGCATCAGCCAATCAGCCTTCGTTCTCTTATTAACTGGCCAATCACAGTTAACAGCAGCCACCACACCTCCCCTTGATGCAAGGTTGAGATTTTTCAGTGTTTGCCCCAGTGGAGCGCAGGACTTTGACCTCAACGGACCGTGACATCGTCAGCTGATAGTGACAGTACATGTCAATACCGGTGGCTGGAGTAACCGAGTCAGTGAAGAACTATCAATTCATTCACATTTAACTGGCAAAATTGCAGGTTGAGGGAAGGTCGAGATTTTCTCATTTCATTTCAGCATTCTACAATCACACTCTAAAGTACTTACCCTGAAGTGGTATCTGTTTTCAAAAACGCCTGCAGGACCAGTGGGAACTCTGACTTGATGATGTATAAGTAACTGGACATGGCTATAGGAAATATAAAAAATGACTAAATTAGAAGAAACACAATCAAAAGAAACTAACCTTCATTATGATTTTATGCTCATTTTGCTTGTTGCACCCTGCTGGAACAGGGTTTGAACTCAGGATGCAAACCGATTGTTGAACTATTAAAAAAAATAGATAAATATATCTTGCTTTTTAACTTTTGGAAAAAAGTTAACTTTGCAATATATATATATAACTTATCTTGGTATCTGTATCTATTTATATTACTTTTATATCCATTACTAATTTTGTGTGTATTTTATATGCATAATATTAATCTGAGTCGGTGTGATTAATGTGATTGTTATGTAATTCTTAGGGGGAAAAATACTTTTAATCTAGAATTAATTCTACTATTAATCTAAATTTGAAAAAAAAAATAAGTCATCAAAATTCAATTTAAGACTTTTTACACAAATTAAATATAAAAAGTCACAGTTAAGTCCAAAGAAACCTGAAGAACAGGCAGCATTAATAATTTGGGGATTAAATAACATGGAAACACAGTGTTAAATATCAGCATAAAGCAAGTTTTGTCATTTTGCCAATTCAAAAAAGTGTGTAAAGAATAGTACATGGGTGGAAATTAACTGGCAAAACCAGACAGGAAAATATAGAGATGAATAAAGGATAAAAAAAAAAGATCTATCAAATTATATTGGGCAAATATTAATGTCTCATTCACATCAGGTTTTCTTTACCTCCAATGTTTTGAAGAGTGATGGCAATTCCGGCCGCCATCTTCCCTGTCATTCCGAAGGCCCTGAATCCCAGCTGTTCGTATGATCTGATTCCTGGAAATGAAAGTCAGTAAAACATGAAGAGAGAGACAAATCTCACCACCAGAGCCAAGTTTCCACAAACCCTATCGCATGTTATGATTATCTTTGCCTGCGGTGACCGCTGAGTTAACATGGAAACTCAGTAAGCCCTAAAATGGAAGCTGAATTGTGTTTTCAGAAAGGAAATGACATCACAACAACACACTGAAAATGCCAACAATTGCATTACAAGAAATGGCTCTTAAAATGCTTTAAAAAACACATTTCTCTTTCTTACAATGTTTAGTATTGAACAATAATTTTCAGTATACTAAACTATATGTATATATGCATTGATTAATTGGCCTGTCCGATTCAAACAGTTAATAATTCAAACTATTATTAGTTATTACATATTAAAATTCCTTCCTCCAGTCTCACAAATTTTCTCCACTATATTTAACAATTTCAGGCAATTCCTGGTCAGATTACAAAAATAAAAAATGCAGATTGTTATTCCGTGACTGTGTTAACTTTAAGGCATCTGTCCACCAGATTAGGAAACGACAATACAACAAACCGATCAAGAAAAATACAGTTCTTCTTACCAACAATACCAGAAGACTTCAGCAGCAGGTGAATAGAATAGCAGGACAGACCAGCTACAGCCGTGAGGAGAAACCTGAAGACAAAATACAACCATCGCATCACTTCAAATCTGTACAACATCTGCATTCTGCACATGCTAGACTTAATATATGGCTTTTCTAGAAGTTCGCCCAAGTAATCTTGCAAGAAGTAGAAAGAAAGTTCCTCTACTGGAGATTAATGAACTACCAAACTGACATTTAGCTGACCTTTTATCTGAAATGACCTTCAGTACACACATTACAGGGACAATCCCTTTGGAGCAGCATGTGATTAGGAGTCCAGCACAGATACTAAGATTACAAACTATTAAAACCACTCAAATGTAATGTAAAGTCTTTAGCTGGAGTTCTAAGTGCATTGCATACATTCTTTCTAAAGTGTACAGTACTTTTTTCAGATGGTCTTCGGGTCATTTTGACCCGGAGAAGATTTTCTTTTCCCCAAAAATACTAGTTAATGTTATCGCATTGGACTGAAACTTAGTGACTTTGTTCCCAAAGGGTATAACTACTTCTCAAATGTTTTTTGAAAATTTTCTTACTTTTTTAGGGGGGGTTTGTTACCTTGTTACACTTGTGGTCTTCCCGGGTCAAAATGACCGGCCTATAAAAAATAGCTTATAAATCACTCATTATACCATATTTTCACCCAATCTTGGATTCAATCTTTTTGTCAACTTGTTCTCTTTCAATTAGGACTGGTTTTGTATTTCCATTTGCATCTAATTAATCGTGGGCCTCATTTATCTAAGAGTAGGCATCTCATTTTTTGAGTAAAAAAAACTTTATTTTTGAATAATTTTGGATTTTTATTTTATTTTATTTTTTTAGAAAATTGGTACTGTTGATCACACTAGTCTACTGTAAGTGTGTGTGTGTGTGTGTGTGTGATAATGTCAGATAGATGAATGGATATTAGATGCAGTTCAGGGTAGGATCAATTTCATCACTGTGAAAAAGAATGTGTCATTCAGAAAATAGTTTATGTGTGTGTGTGTGTGTATGTGTGTGTGTGTGTGTGTGTGTGTGTGTGTGTGTGTGTGTGTGTGTGTGTGTGTGTGTGTGTGTGTGTGTGTGTGTGTGTGTGTGTGTGTGTGTGTGTGTGTGTGTGTGTGTGTGTGTGTGTGTGTGCATGTATCCACGCATGCACATGTCCAATGGCTCTATGTCTTCAAGCACACGTATACATATGTGAACATGAACATGAACATGCTCCTGACAACTACATTTTTCTCTAATTTTTAGTCTCCCCCATTCACTTTCAATGACCGGGAACACCACAAGTGTGACTCTGTGTCATTTTGTGCAAAAAAAACCACACATTTCAAAACAAACTGTGTCATTAAATATTTAAGTAGACAAGTGTGATCAACAGTGCAATATATTTTCATATTTTACTCAATATTGCCAAAATTATTAACAAATAATGCTTTTTTCACTCAAAAACTGAAGTGCATAAGCTCGGATAAATGACTCCTACAATTAAACCGTTTGAAAATTAAATACAAAACCAGCCCTAATTGAAAGAGAACAAGTTGACAAAAGGATTGAATCCAAGATTGGGTGAAAATATGGTATAATGAGTGATTTATAAGCTATTTTTTATAGGCCGGTCATTTTGACCCGGGAAGACCACAAGTGTGACTATGTGCCATTTTTTACAAAATAAAAGTTTTTCAAAACAAACTTCCTGATGAAACATTAAAGTAGACTAGTGTGATCAACACTGCCAACTTTTTAAAATATTTTATTTAATATTTCCAAAATTATTCAAAAATATTAAAAAATAATGCTTTTTTTACAAATAAAATGAGATGCCTACTCTTAGATAAATGAGGCCCACGATTAATCAGATGCAAATAGAAATATAAAACCAGTCCTAATTGAAAGAGAACAAGTTGACAAAAAGATTGAATCCAAGATTGGGTGAAAATATGGTATAATGAGTGATTTATAAGCTATTTTTTATAGGCCGGTCATTTTGACCCGGGAAGACCACAGGTGTTATAGGGTTTTGAACACAACATGAGTTAATGTTGTTGAGTAAGAATTACTGCTGAATGAATCTTGGGAAAGCGCCAGTATTTGTGTTGGAACCAAAAATGTACGTCTGGTAAACTGTTACATGAAACCCCATGATCAAACACACCACTAATCAATTTGACTGATTCATCCAGCTCTTTTCTTTTAGCTTATGTCATGGAAAGCCAACTTTCAGAAAGGCAAATAGCTGATAGAAGCTTTAGCTACACAATAGTGGAATTCTCTTGCAAAGCGATTATTGTACTTTCAGGATACGTTCACAATGCTTCACCGCAGGAGGCAGACTGTCCTTGAATTTAGTCTACTGCAAGTCCATTTGGATGACAAGTACCTGATAAATGGCAAGTAATTAACAATGGCTAAGGGATGAGCTCTGAAACGACTGTACTCAAACGAGATGGATGTTCTCAACAGCTGCCTAACAATTCAGCACGCATTGACCAGAGGAAGTGATCTCAGTACACCTGTGCTCTGCAATCGACACATCTACAATAGAATTATGTGAATTTGCATCGACCGATTCTGTTGTGATGCATTTGTTTGCCATTCATAAGGTTAATTTATTGTTATATGTCTGGAAATAAGACTATCTTTGGAGGAAGCAGTCTTGGCCTGTTAGGTCATTTGATCAGTAGTATTTAATTCCCTGTAACCTGACAGGAGCAGAGGACGCCTCAGACGTCTCCCCGCTCTCCTCCCCCAGTCAGACCAAGACAGGCTGCGAGAGGAAACCAAATATAACAACTATATTTGGATGGGGGCAGGGTGATCCTGAAAAGAAGGATGTGTCTGGCGAACAGAGGAGGCGTGTCCAGCCCAGGTCATGGCCTTTCTGGGGCCGTGGATAGGCGAGAGGGGTGGAGCTAACGAGTGGAAAATTTTCAGAAGGTGGGAAATAAACATTAAATGGGAGGTCGCACAAACGCATGTGTTAGCTTTCCTCCTCTACTCTTTGGAAAAATACTCTAACTACTGCTAGTCAACTTAAAGCATTCTTCAGTTGTGCATACATATAGCTATAGGAGGTATGGTAGAAGCGAGAATGTTTAGTATAAATATATCTAAACTTAACTTAACCATCTAAAATATTTTACTGGCTTGAGTTGAGTTGTTCATAATTTTAAAATTTTAAGTAAAACTCTTGAAACAAGGGCTGAGGTTTTTTAAAAAAAAAAGGCCAAACGGAGTTTTGCATGTACTTTAACAGAATGCAATCAGTGTGTGGATCTTTTCCATAGAAAATCCTGTCTGGTACACCCATGTTCATGAACATTAACAGCCTCCAAAAGGAAACACTCAATTATTCAAGAGCATGTCTGGAAAAATAACAGATGTAAAACCTATACTTTAATTACCATGGCAATTAGACAGCCAATGGGCAGCCAAATGCTTGACATTTAGATGACGTTAAAGTGCTGATTCATTGAGGGCTGGAAGTGACAGGTTCATTTGGATGACTATGAGATGATTCAGTGATTCTTTACATAAGAACAAACATAGAACAATGGATTACTTTTAAAGCCAATTTGTCATTAAGAGGGTAATGAAGGTATTTCACTTACAAGAAAAGCAGTATGCCAGTATTGGCCATAGCGTAGGCCAATCCCAAAATCCCACTGCCCATAATGGCATTGCCCAAATTGAAGACTGACATGCCAAAAGAGGTCTTCCCCTCAAACTGAGATAGGAAATAAGATTGATAAGCAACTAAAACAGACAAAAACACCAGCAGTAGTGCTACATAGACTAACATCAACACATCGTTTAGTTTCTACGAGCTATTCGTGATATGCTATTGGTTACTTGGAAGTTCACGGCAAATGTTGCACATACTTACATCAGTAAAACGTGGCTTCTTGCCATCGCCGTTGGGCAGGAACTCAATGTTCTCAGCGAGTGTGCTCTCAGGATCATCAAATCTGTTGGATGGAACACAGCGGACATTTAATTGACAATGACCTTGATCATCAACTCACTTCATCTTCGTCTAGTAACGTCCTCTGTTTTCTGTTATTGACATACCTGCCGTGATGGGTACCATTTCTGAGGGTTGATAGAGAGTGTGAGAGGGTCCATCATCGAGCAAGAGCAGAAAAGAGGGTAAACATGCACTTAGACAAGCCCACAAGTCAACACACCATGCCAGAAGGTAAACGTGCATTGAGAAATATACAAATGTAAGCTACAAATAAAGTTTGCATTGACCTCAGTACAGAAGCACACAATGAACATGATATAAGTCAGGTACGTTGCAAGTCTGTTCTGATTGAGAAAGCAGGGAAAACATGCTAAAAACCATAAAGCAAAACCAGTTGAAAACCACAATTTAAAGTGGCCTGGTTCTCCATGCAGGTGGTAAATGAGAAAGCACTTCCTGTCACATGCAATTAACTTATCTTACTGCCGCAAGACAATGAAAGTCAAAATGTTCAGCGTTTGTACATAAAGTCAAACTCCCTATAAGACAAGTCATTTCACTCGGCGGCCATCTTTGAAACGCCTCTCGGGCAGCTATTTCAGCTATTACTCTCTTTGAATGGGAAAGCTTCAAATTCTCCAAAGCTGTTTACCATATTTTAGGATTAAATTTCATATTTGAAATCATCAATGAAATCTGACAACAACTGTCTTATAAATTTAGCTTCTAAATGCTCAAATCATGACAAAAACTGCATTTTTCAGGCTGGACCAGCACATGTGTCAAAACAGAGACTGTTTCAATTGCAACCGGAGCTTCTAACGGCAGCTGCAGTGAGGCAATCGCTTTACCAATCAGCGGTTGGCTCTTTTTCTTAGAAGGCGGGACTTATTCCGCCATATTGCGCATTGCACTTTCTTCCATTCAAAGTAATGCACCATCTTTGTAAATCTAAAGTCTTTGATAAAACTGAATGATTGGAGTGATGCAAAAGTGCTTACTGTTCTTCCTCCATCATAGTCTTCATCGGCACGCACATTTCCTCTCCGAGGTCGTGACCTTTCCCATTGGGTAGGATACTCATATCTGATCTGGCAGGTTCCATGGAGGAAGCCGTCGATATCCCACAGTTCTGTGTGTGAGTTGTCAAAGTTGCTGCAAAGGATAAACAATTTTACAACAATTAAATATATGTATATATTATTAACTTTATGCATACAAATCTGTCTCATAATGCCCAGGGTTGTTACTGTTAACTAAAACTTATTAAAAATCATTTTCACTAACTGAAATCAAATAAAATGTAAATATTATTTGAGAAAGTTACATGAAAAATAGAAATGTTGCCTTGGAAATTAAATGAAATAAATAAGGTTAAGGTTAAGAACTAAAAATAAAAATAAATATGAAATAAAGCCAATTAGAAAAATCTAATAAAATGAAGAAAAATAAAGTTAAATTAAAATCAAAACAGAAAATGTAAAACTAAAATCTAATGGAATATATTATAGCATTAATAAAAACATTAATGGATTAGTATTAAAAAATACCATTATAGTTTATAAATAATACTAAAATAATACTGCATATGTCCCAATCTGTTTATACTATACTATATAATAAAAGTGTAATGGGGCCAGATGGTAATAATGTGGTACTTTTATGTATACCATGATGATACTACATAATTCAAATAGTCATGTGCCAAGGTATTAGCATTGTACTTCAAAGTACTGGTAGTATTGGTGTACATGTCCAAAAACAATCTATATGTTAATATAGTCTGTTTATTATGTTAATTAAGTCTGATGGAAAATTTCATTTCTTCTTATTTTGATTCTTCTTTACATCATTATTGCATTGTGTAACACCTGTCAGTAATGCACAAAATCACTCTAGAAATCCTCTCAAATCAGCCTGATGGATTACATCACCACCACTCGGCTGTTCAGTTAAAGCAGTGCGGCCACCTAAAGAAAGTAAACCACCAGGATTATCCAGCGATTTAGTGACTGGCCTTTCACCAGTTTCCCCTGAGACCTAATTTCCATTTATGCATCCCATTAAGTCGTCCGTTTTCAACGACAACAATGAGACGCAGCGTACCAGGGTGTAATTTTAGACCAGCAGATGTTCTCGCTCTTCAGCGAACAGTGTCTTCACGTTCCCTGGAAAAATGGAGGCTCAATAACATTTACCACGTCACTGTTTATTTTATGATCGAGGTTTTCAGTCCACTGAATAGTAGGGCCATTGAGACGCCCAGCTGTCACGATAAATTTAACACACACACTGTTCGCAATAACAACTGTCTGCGAGGGAAAGAAGAACTGTACGAGTGTGTTCATTTACGGTCTGATAATTGAGGAAAGTCCATTTCCAAATGAGACTGATGCAGACATGAGATTGGATTCCAGAACTATTAACATTTAAAACTACTACTAGCAACTAGGGCTGCAACGATTAGTCGACGTTGTCGACAACGTCGACAATAAAAATTTGTCGACAAATATCTTTGTTGTCGAGTAGTCGTTTGATCTCACGTGACCTAATGTAAGGGCCTGCAATATCGCGATTTGACCGCTACGGCACTGTAGCGCTAGAGTGTAGTGCAGCCCTTACAAATGCTATTGCGGTAGAAGAAAACACAGCGCGAATTATGACAGTGCAAACGAATCCGAACTAGCAAGGTTTAGGTTTGGGAAAGTTTCACAAAACTTCAAATCAAGAATGCTGTCGTGTGCAATAATTGCAAGGCGCAACTTGCTTTTCTCCCGTGAAAAAGCACAACATGCATGTTGGAGTGCAAGAGGAAACATCCCGGCAAAAGAGGAGCTGGTGAGAAGTGAGTGTTCTCCAGCTGGAGCTTACTAACCAGCGGTAAATCTCTCTTTATTAGAGAATGCAATACTACTAATAATAGTAATAATATTATCAATAGTAATATAATTACAGTAATGTGATGACTTATTTTGCATAGAATAAAGCTTGATCGAGCTTAGGAGTCAGGGCTGTTTTTATTATTGTAACACTATTAGTATATTAGGTATTATTATAGTCTTATCACTTGCCTGTATTTTGTTCAATAATCATGAAGACTTACAAAACGAGATGTTATATCCTTCCTATGATATAGGAAGAATATCATGGCAGTTACTTTATCATACTATAAATTAAAAGGTGAATGAGAACGTCTCTGTCAGCTCAATTGTCATGTAAAAAAAGATTGTAAATTTATACTTATAATAATTGTTTGCAGATTAATATTTTACCATTCTTTGTGACCTGAAGTTAATGTCCCTTTTTCTGTTTCAGTTCTAAGAAAAGCAGTGGGCCTATTAAACAATGCTTAGAGAGCATTTGAGTGTGATTTGAGTTGGACCGAAATCTGAAAACTTAAAGAGAATGACCTGTTTAGTTGGCTCAAAGTTCATTAAAACAACTATTTCAAAAGCTGAAGTGATTTTCTTTTTTTATATTATAGTTAGATAATATGTATAGAATATGTTAGATATGTATAACTCAATGTTTTAACTAATTGTAAAAGCTGAATAATCGTTCCAAACTTACTGATTAGTCTGCGAAATAATCGACGATTAGTCGATTAATCGTTCTAATAATCGTTAGATTAATCGATTATCAAAATAATCGTTTGTTGCAGCCCTACTAGCAACATGTTGTGTCAGAGTGCAATTCATTATTGCAAAACAAACCCCTCCAAATAAACCCCATCACCCTGCCAGGGTTCATTGTGCAATAATGACCAGCTGAATGTACATTATGCCTTACATTTTATCCTCACTGAGGTATTGTTCAATTAGCACTGTACTTACATGAACAGACTAGACATGATAACGTGACAAGCTTTTGATTAGGCATTGCGAACAGCAGCTCTTCTTTGGGGTCCAAAGGGACTCTAAATTCTAACAGGAGCTTGAATTTCACATGAGGATGATATGTGAGGTATGGAGGCTGCCTGCAATATACGTTTTTGTCAGCCTTAACACAGCTTAATGCAATATTTGACCCGCAAAGATTGAGCTCAAGGTTATTAAATATGTCGGATCTGATCAATTTAGCTCCAACTTTTTGACAGACACAGGATGGTCAGTAGAGTGCTAGTCTCGCGTAGCCAGACCTTCAGACTGACGGCTGAAGGTCTGGAATTCATAGCAGCTTTCTTTGGCCAAGGCCCGCCCATAAGGCCGTTTGACCGACATGTCAAACAACCAATTACAGTTCGTTTCGTTCAGCGTCACGTTTCGGGCGTGGAAATGTCCCCACAACAACAGACCGGCGTGCAACAAGTCAGTCAGCATAAAAAATCAAAGAAGGAGAAGAAAACTTCAAGAGTCTATGCCGTGAACCTCGCATACTTTTGAGAATCCTACGTTTAGCTGATCTTGATAAATGCTCATTGTCACTCATGTAAACACAACAGTTAGTCTTCCGCAATCACACGCCTGCGCTTTGTTTCCCGGCGGACCGAAAATAAACGCGACACTCGCGCCCCCCGGAAATCCGATAAAATTCAACCAATCAGATGACGACTTCGACATTCATGAAGTGTTTCCAGTTAAGTGTACCATATGCATCAGACGTTTAGCCAACGTTCCGTGGGCGTGACACGTCTGAGGCTGAGACTAGTAGAGTGCCAACAAAGTGGATAAAAGGCAATTATGGGGTTAATATACAAAGACTAACTACTTTTCAAGATGAACAAAAGACGATAACTCAGGTATAAAGCGCAGTATTAAAGGGTTAGTTCACCCAAAAATGAAAATTCTGTCAGTAATTACTCTCCCTCATGTTGTTCCAACCCCGTAAGACTTTCGTTCATCTTCGGAACACAAATTAAGATATTTTTGATTAAATCTGAGAGCTGGATCACTCCTCCAGGCTTCTTAAGGGATCGAAACTGGCCAGCCCAGAAAAGTTATGAAAGACATCGTTAAAATAGTCCGAGTGACTACAGTGGCTCAATCTTAAGTTTATCAAGCGACGAGAATACTTTTTGTGTGCAAAAAAACAAACAAAAATAACAACTTTATTCAACTAATCATATCCTTCTCTGTTCGGCCGTGATATTTCACGTTGTGAAATTACGCAAAGCTTCTAGGTTGTACGTCACGCATCACACACATGACCAGCGTCGGCCAATAGTGAGCTTACGTGTGACGTGCAACCTAGAAGCTTTGCGCAATATTACTACGTGAAATATCACGGCCGTATAGAGAAGGAAATGATTAGTTGAATAAAGTCGTTATTTTTGTTTGTTTTTTGCGCACAAAAAGTATTCTCGTCGCTTGATAAACTTAAAGGGATACTCCACTTTTTTTGGAAATGGGCTTATTTTACAACTCCCCCAGAGTTAAACTGTTGAGTTTTACCGTTTTTGAATCCATTCAGCCGATCTCCGGTTCTGGCGGTACCACTTGCGTCATATCATTACGCCTGCTGCACTCATGGTACGGCAGTGAAGTTTCTTGATTACTACGCAGGAATGAGAGTATAGTTCCTAGCCATATCAGCCTAGAAAATCGCAACTTTACATTTTCCGTCGGTCTTAGTGCACGATGTAACTACAGAAGAGTCAAGTTTTAAATAGGAAAAATATCGAAACTCTTTGGTCATTTTTTTTTGAGAAATGCTAATGGTCTTGTCCACTTCAATGATCTATGCTAAGCTATGCTAAAAGTGGTACCGCCAGAACCGGAGATCGGCTGAATGGATTCAAAAACGGTAAAACTCAACAGTTTACCTCTGGGGGAGTTGTAAAATAAGCCTATTTCCAAAAAAAGTGGAGTATCCCTTTAAGGTTGAGCCACTGTAGTCACTCGGACTATTTTAACGATGTCTTTCATAACTTTTGGGCCGGTCAGTTTCGATCCCTTAAGAAGCCTATGAAGGAGTGATCCAGCTCTCAGATTTAATCAAAAATATCTTAATTTGTGTTACGAAGATGAACGAAAGTCTTACGGGGTTGGAACAACATGAGGGAGAGTAATTACTGACAGAGTTTTCATTTTTGGGTGAACTATCCCTTTAAGACCTATCACGCTTTTGTCTTTTTTATTATCCCTCGCATCTGTTTCACACAATGCACTGTCCTTGATGTACATTCAGCAATGTGCTGCTTTATCAAAAGGGCTTTA